CCCCAAAACCCCAAAACCCCAAAACCCCAAAACCCCAATTTCGAAGTTTCGAATTGAAACCAGTCATAAGGAAATAGCCGCAAAGGATGCTTAAAAATCTGACGAAGGAAATTATCACATTGGTATAATTCCAATAAATTTAGCTTTACTTAATTATTGGACAAGTCATGCTTTGGGCTTCTTTTTAACTCTTTGGTCAAGTAATTTAGTATTTCTTCTGCATGAATATATTATGTATCTCATCTTCTTTTTCTTTATAATTCTGGTGATTGTCCAATCAGGGATTCTAAACCATTAAGTACTCATAAAACTTTATGAAACTAAAAATCGGGCTCTGAGCTTACCATTGAGTATTCATAACTGTGGTATCAGATTTAATAAGAATAGAGTTACAATTTTGCAACTGGACTGCAAAGTATCTTAAAAGAGCAGGACCTTTCTTAGAGCCTTTGAAGATTGGCTTAGAGAACTCATCTTTGACTGCCACCAGTTCGATATGAGTAATTGACCTGTTCTTTGATCCGAATTGGCCTAAATATGCATGGTTATTCCTGGAAGCATAAAATTTTGGTCTTTGTTATTGGAATTTAAAATATTTTATATTATGAGAGGATCGAAGATTTTTTATAAAAACATCACGATACTTTTGATTCAAATTCAACCAATCCAGCATACTACAAACTTTAAAACACATCTTATAACCCTCTAAAACTCCTATTTAAGCTTCAAATTCTTTATTTCTCCTAAATCCCTACCTTTGTCAACTTCCAGTTGGGAACTGATCTCTAGATTACATCTTTTGATGGCAAGATTGTTCACACAAGTGGAGACTTTAAGGAGTTTTAGGAGGAACTTGGCTGGGATTTTCAGGTTGATTAGTTCGATTAGGGATGGGATACCTCATCCATCTCCAAGTAAGTTTGGCCTAATTTCAGAATGTGGCTGAACTCCATGCACCAATGAAAAGCACCGAAACAAAGCTTTAGAGTAGCTGGGAATAGTGTCTCTCAGAGTAACATGGGTGATTCCCACCGAGTGGGTTTTGTGCAATGGAGCAAGCTGGCTGGTTAGTCGCTTCCGAAGAGGAGCCAAGAAGGCTGCAGTATTAGAGTCATCAAGGGAGAAGTAAGGTGCTGTCAGTAGCGGAGTGATCGATATTGATAGGTTTTGGAAGGTTATTTCTGAGGAGATGGAATTGGAAAGGGAACTAGAGAGAGGGTCGGATAGGGATAGGGATTTAATGCTATGAGTAAGAGACTGAACTGTACAGGGATGCTTCATGGGAGAGGGTCTCTTGTTCTTCGGATTTATATGTCTCCATGTTTTTCTATTAATTATAAATTTCAATTTAGAGCATAAAAACAGGGGTTTTGGGGTTTTGGGGTTTTGGGGTTTTGGGG